GCGTACAGATAATAACAAATCACTTTGGAACAGCACTTTGGACGGCGAGCTATATATGCACCGTGTGCACATGAAATGAACTACACCAAAGTAGAGATTGTACTAATGGAACATAATAAACTACACAAAATAAATTGCAGATTACAGTGTAAGTAAACCAACAGTCAGACAACCTAGAAGGTGAAACATTCAATGCTCCCAAAGCTACATGGAACTGGCCTTCATATATTTACTCGGAGTTTTGGACCAAGATCCGACGATGGATTTTCCACAGCCACCACTCTGTCACGCCAAGAAACAGTTATAGTTTTGCAACAAATTTGCGAAACTTACCAAACAATTTAGTAATCGACGGTGTAGTTCAAGACTCAAAAGCTTTCTTCTATGTAGAATATGTTTTTCAGTTACGGTCCTGAGCACGTACTAGAGCGGTTATAGGACATGCTCTTGTCTACCCGAAGGGCTAACCGATCTGCTGTCAAGCTTCTTAACTTTTCTTTTAGGATTTTATGAAAACGAGAAGCGGAAACGATGTGACGTAAAGTTAACTGTAACCATCGGAATTGTTCGACACGAAAGCCACATTTTGAGGTCCTCCAGTCAACTTTACGGACTGAGCACAGATGCGCAGAAGCTCACTTGCTGGGCCAAGTATAGGGGTCACCACGGACACTACCTATTAGTACTAGGGTGGAGTGACTTCACACCCATGTGACCCACTGACTGCATCATCATCATCATCATCATCATCATCATCATCATCATCATCATCATCATCATCATCATCATCATCATCATCATCATCATCATCATCAGCATGACATCAGTGTTCAACACCGATGCTTCACTGCCGTACACTGACTGCACGATTCTGTCAGTGTCATTAACCACTGATGAGCTGTGCCCCGGGGTCTACACCCATCATTATATTTACACATTTACCCGGTTTATTGATCGCACAACCACACTGATGGGTCTGGATGTTTAACCCTTTTAATTTGCCACCTCGAAACAATCCACCCAGCCGAACCCTTCTTAAATGTCCAAAATCCCGAAAGGCTACCTTCTCATCCACCAACACTCGGACGGATCCTGATGCAGGGTGATTTCCCATCATGAACTTTATGTCTTAAACTTCTTGGTTTTGGGGTGACTTCGAGACCATGATGGCAACACCCATCTAACCTCGAATTCAGATCTTACTACTCACGCATACATGCACACTCTTGCCAACTAGGATGGTAAGCCGCTTCATATTGTAACGGGGAATGATCTGGATGAAAATCTTCTGACAGCAACTCCGTTATCACAGATGGAAGACTGGCAGTTATCATTTATTTCGCTCTTCTTAGCAGCTAGACATGAACTATGCAGATTATATAGAAGAAAGTGTCATTGTCAGCGAGACAACAAATAGATCATCTCACGTGAACATTGGAAACCAGATGCTTTGCGCAGAGTACTGGCTGGGAAATTATTGTGCTTATTGTTACATGGCTGTAGGGTGTAAAGGAGGAGTAAACTTCACCCGAAGTGTGTTAGTAAGATGGGTTTCAGTACCTCAAATCATACAAAGCATGGAAGAAAGAGACCACCTGATACGGGCACTCTGATCAAACACTTGTTGCTACCTTTCTCATCTTCTGCACGTGGAACTTTCGCATGCCCCCAGAACTCTTCTAGATCACTTTGCTCAACTCACCTCTAGTTCCCTTCCTTGCACTGTACGGACTTACTCCACAATCACTTCACTCATTAGCAATCATCATGAGGAACGTTCGTCCAGTTCGTTTCTCTCTCAATCGACACTCTAGAGTCCCATGCTCCGGAGGACGTCCAGTAGATTTTGGTGTTCCTACAAGTGCTCTGAAACTTTTGCTGGTCCCTTCATGACTGCCTTCTCTACGTCTATTCAGAGTTCTTTTCCTACCATCTGAGAAAGTTCACAAGTCGTTCCTACCCCCGAAAATTGCTGCTCACCTAAATAAAAAAAATCACTTCATTTTCAATGAAGGTGTTTGAGATAATTCCAGGAAACGAATTCTGTGTTACGTTGAGGTCAATGCAGACTTGATTGACCTTTGATATGCATTCAGACACTAGCACTCCATGTAAGATCAGTCGACGTTTTCTCCTCCTTAACGCCATCGTGAAACCTAGTTTGTACTAATGGGCAGCATGAAAGCTTTTGGTTAGCTCTCCTTCGTGCCAAGCTTCCAAGATTCCGTAAATCGGTTAATTAGGTCGACACCTTTCTCTAAATAAACGAGTGATTCAGCTACGTTCCTGGTGTATCAACCGCATAACCATTTTGGTCTGCAAATGGGTGTATTTCATTAACCAAACTTGTTTCAGATTCCCAAAACCATCATCATCAAGGTGTGATATTCATCTGCACCCTAGTAGCAAACTTCTCCTATCTGCTTATGTCTCCTGTTTACCGATGAGTTACCCTTGACTGCCCCACATTGTATTCATCCTACCGCTCTGCTTTCATTTCGGTTCGTGATGGTTAGGTATGAACCATCGGCATAACAAGCATTCAAAATGCCGGAGTCGATGAGTGGCGTTCATGCGCTGCATCCGCAATATCCCTGCGTTCCTCTCACTTTCTGTCGCAGATTAGCTGGTCTGAAATCCTCTGCAATTTCCTGCTGTATTCCTCAATCTCCTTTATTCCAATATGATGGATTTGACAAAATCCAACAATCCGTCCCAATTGACTTAGGTAGAATAATTTATGAAAAGTTTTTCGAGTTACCTGAGCAGTTTTCACATAAGAATCAGGAACAATAAATATGTCAGTTCTATTCACTTGACAACCCTGTTAACCGACCGTAAGCCTATTGCTTTCAACAAGATTAATGATATCGACTTGGTGATTTTTGCACGCGTTCCCACTGTCTAGTTAGTTGATTTGATGGTTGATGCTTTTGTTGAAGATACCAGTAAATGGACGCGCAAAATCCTCAAACTCAGGTCTTCCGACCAGACCTAACCGGCTACGTGTGCTAACAAAGTCGTTGAAGCTATTGGCCGTGGCAAACCTAAGAATAGGTAAATTTACTGCTTGGGTAAACATACAGTCAAAGTATCACATGAAACCCTGTGTGACAGTCGATCTGGATTATAACCGACTTCTGCCAGCGTTTTGGCAACTGCAATTGATCTGAGTGTATAATGAACTCAACTCTCTTATCAACTGCCCCATATAAAAAACAAAATGGCAGAACTGTGAAGTGTTCAAACTACCAACTGTGAGGTCGCAGTTTCGAGATTCCCTGGAGTCTCGTGAGATGTGGGGTGCTGATAATTCCCAATAAGGATGGAGCAGCTGTGTACCCGCTTTTTCAGCATAGACTGGCTTCACTTGCAGGAGGAAATCTCCACCAAATTTTCCAAATCTCCTCACACCACCAGCATCTTTAGGAAGCTCAGAGGAACAGTAAAATTTACCCGATGAGGGAAACTGCTATTTGAGAAGTTTTCACTCGAGCAACCGGATAACGTGTGTGACCAATGGATTCAGCGACTGAAGAATGAGTGACACTATACCCTAAGTGCAATCTAATCACGATTTGATCAACTGTTCGTGCCCGAAAGGTTAAGCATTCAGACTATTGGCTGGGAGTTCGCAACCTGGAAAAGCTCAGGTGGGGGGGGGGGGCACAGCACGAAGTAGCATGAAAACCCGGCTAGAAACGGACGATCAAGGCACGTACCGGACACGCTCTGTTATGTACCGATCTCCATGTGAAAAGTCTGGCGTGGTGAGCTCACAGCAAGCCTTCTGTACGACAGCGAATTACATCAAAGAACTGAGCATTTTCATTTAAGCTTTTGTCCTGCCAATGAAGTCAAACAACGCTGGAAAGGCGAGAAGCAGTGAACAGCTGTTTGATTCTAAGCAGGAATCATCAGCAATGTGCATCTCACGAAACTTGGGGAGCTTCGAATCCACAACCTTCGACTGTTGGTTGAACATTTAGCCGCTCACTCATTAGCGGCTGATCAGCAACGTGAGTAACTCGCAATTAGACGGGATGTAGTGCCACTGAACCGTTATTCACGCACTCAGACATGTTGACCGGCTCCTCGAGTGACGTCTTCTCAGATGGAGGTGTCACTCGTCGTGTAAAATTCTTTCTCTGAGCTACTTGTAGATTGATGGCAGTGTGAGCAGTGGTGCGAGTTAATCACATTGCTGATGAGCTGTTGGTGGCCGAACGGGTAGGTGTTCAGCCTACCAGACGAAAGGTTAAGGAGTTGAACCCTGTCCCCACCCCCCGGGGTTTTGTGATATGTGGACTGTTGGAGGTTTTCGATAAAGATGAAATAGCGGTAGAGCTGTTCTTGCTTTTCAGCGTAGATTGGTTTCAGTTACCGGTCGAAATCTTCATCAAAAAGTTTTTAAATCCTCTCACACCATTAACACTAAAATGGCGTGCTTGACTATGGTTAGCTTCATCCCAGTTGAAACCTGTGGTGATACATGTGAGTATTTGAACACTGTGCTAATGAAAATTATCGAACTGTCTGAACTGCCTTAGTTGGCTGATTGATGTGTGTTACTTCATGCAGGTGTTTTCTACGGATTGTTCTGAACCCCCTATCAAACTGAGCTACTAGAAGTCGGTTTACGTTAGGTTTTATCTTTACCAGCCCTCCGTTTGCAGAGAATACCGCGCAGGTGCGAGCCCGACGGATCGACTATGGGCGCGACAAGTGCGACCTTGAGATAGAATCAGTTTATGTGGCCAAGCTGGCAGGCGTGTGGCAATAGGCGGCATGCACCGCTTGCGTGGTGGCGATCATTTCACTCCCACGTCGATAACTTCTCTGGCACAGCGACAAAGCGTGGGCGAAGGCAGTCGCATCCACATCCGATTGGTCAGTTTTGCTGCGGCCGTCAAACCCCTTAGCCAACCATATTGTGACCTGCTTTCTGCCCCCATATTTACCTAATAAGCCACCACAAAACTGAGCTGTCGCAGTTTCACCATAGTTGTCACAGGCGCGTAACATGTCACCATCTACTCTACACAAACGGAGGATAGGATCTAAATCGGGTAAACGGTCAACTGACTGTAGACGAAGTAGCAGACTACGCTGGATCGAGTGTGAACGACTAAAAGAAATTGTTCCAAGTGTGGCCGGTGCCGAATGCGTGAATGAGGTATGTGATGTTCTTGATAATCTGTTCCGTTAGACGGGAGATTTATGTGGTATTAGTGAATCGAAGCTCAGTCTTGACCATTGTTTGACATATTTGTCGATGTTATTTTGCGCATCTCATTCAATGTTCCACTCAACAAATTTCATGCTTTTTGGTGAATTAATGTTGGGAATTCGGTGTACTTTTCGTCCAGAAACTGTCATCCAATCCACAAACGTGTTAGTTAAGCTGAGACTTGGCTACAATCCACCCATTAGAAGAAATTCCAGGAGATAAAGCACTCCAGTCAAGAAAGCTTAATTGTGAGTGCGGATTTATTCCATTACGACCTCTTCTCGGAAAAACGCACCTCCTGGACTATTAACTCCAAGCGTAATATCCACAGTATTCATCCAATAGGCTATCAGTTTACACAATTTTCTATGCACAACTGAAAACTGAAGTTCAGTTTGACTAGACTTGTCTTTATGTCGTCAATAAATCAGCTTTGGATGCGGATACATCCCTATTTGCTGTAAAGATTCACGGATATGATGTAACTAGAGAGGGGTAAACAATCCACGAGGGCTCAGTAGTCATCTAACACCTGACAATAATATCCTTGTTATGTAGCAGTGTACTTCCGTAATATGTAGCGTATTCTGGCGGTCTTTAACGGAGTGTAGCTAGCAGTGAAATCTCTGCTTCTTTACGGTCTAGATAACCGGGGTCAGCCAGATGAGCCAGGTCTGCACGTACGTTCAAGGACATTGCATATATAGAACATTCGTTTGAGACGGGATTGAAAATTGCGTCTAAAACGCGGTCTAAAATAAACGATATTTCAATAGAACAGTGCAGACAATGCGTAGAGGATCCCCGTCGCTCAGCCTCCCATGAATGAACCTATCCATCGAGGAGGAACGTTCCTCCGGGGACGTTCTCTAGAGAAGTATGCCCATAACAGCAGTAAATATCAGTAAACACCAACTGTGGTTTAATCGCATTCAGAAAAATACAAGCGTTGAATGAAACCAACATGATAATTCCAAGAGACGCTACCGAAGGGTCGTCAGCTGGTCACCCTTAGGCGGTGCCATTTCCCTTACGTGGGACGCAGTACTAGGTCATAGCTGACGAGCTGTGGATTCGCAGAGATGAAGATATCTTTTTTGAGGACATTCCACTTGAGGAATCCACTCGATTGTGCTAAAATCCAAAAAGTCGAACTTCAATGAAGTCTCCGGTACATTTCCTCTCTTATCATCTCCAGATAGAACCAATTTTCTCCGCTAACTTGTATAGGACACCATTCACTTGAAAGGCCATCAGCAGAACACAGAATTTGGCGGAGCCCGAACACACTGTATCAACCCCTCTCCATTTCAGGTATTTTTTCCCACTGCGGCGAAAAGACATGTTACTAGTTCCTCTGATTGCTATCTAAGCAATCCAGGATACAGCTACTGAGCCTTTTATGTGATTTTCTAACCCTAGGTAAAAGTTATCAAAGAGGCAATCAAACATATCAGTCGGCTCGAGGAAGCGGTTATTCAACGCCTAGTCTCATGTGACTCGGAAATGCTGCCGGTACGAACAAGTAAGTTATAAACTTTCAATGTGTGTGTAACACGTAAGCAGTTTGTATTTTCCGACGATATTTCAGTGGTTTGACAGCCAATTCACAGCAAAGAATGTGTTTACAAATTGTTCTGAGTTTTTTCTTTGTAAAACACACTACTCACAAGGTTGCTGAAAACTGCGACAGCCTACTACTGGGTTCGGTAGGTAGGTGTACTTCCTGGGTTTTCGTTAGCCCTCTGTTCTACTTGAAAGCCAAGTTACAGTAACTAAAAAATACACTCACTTGCCAATTAGCTGGGTGTTAATTAATTCCAGATGAATCTCTCGTTAATGGGATTCTTCAACTGATTATGCTGCACCAGGACCACCTCAGGTTCCATCCGACAAGATATTTGAGATATCGCAGTGAGCTGTGAGCTGTCAGAGGATAAGGAAGTTGTCAGCCTTATGAGTAGTGTGTTGCGATATCTCGAATATAGTCCCAACTGAAAAAATGAGACCGCCTTTGTGCAGCACATACATTTGAAGGGTAGCAAAAGTGAGGAATCCACTTAAGTCTCTTGTTATCAATCATTTAGAATGTATTTCGCCAATTGTGTACTGAGGCTTAGTTGGGTTTTTTGAACAACTGAACTCACAACAAAAGAAGTGAGGACGAATCGATGGTGCTCAGGCAGGCACTGTCACACACGCGCACACAAGTACGATTGCCCCTCTGTGAAAGATACATCATGGGGGCAACCAAGAGGGGCTTCTTCCACTGAGTGGTATCCTGGTTGAGATAGCTTGCTAGTGGACTAAATCAAAATGTCTTTTTTTGATTACCGGTTACTTAACAGGGGTCAAACATGATCCGGCTATGCATGGAAGCATGAAATGAGTTGACACACGGTTGAGCGGGATAAACTTTGGCGATATCTTTACTGTATATTGTCGTCCGGGGCAGTGAGTTGACCACATTTGTATAACTTTCTTACTGCAACTAACCCCTACGATAAGCACAGCCCCAGTAAGAACCACTATCACACAAAGACCACTAATCCACCCATGTTGTGAAGTTGCCTTCTATCTACATTGAATGCGCGGTGGTCATGAGTGTGCAGTTCTTGGGCGAACAAATCAAACTACTTGGTAATGTGTAGAAATATTGTTGAGATGTTCACAAGCCAATTGGCAAGCTCGGTGAACAGATCAACAGCCACCTGATTGACAACCAATGAATGAAACTACTACCATATAAATCTTTCGCGTAATTTATGCGGTTGGCTTCAATTTTTAATGCCAATTTGGTCACGTGAATATATTTGCGACCTCCCTGAGTAAGAGGGAGATCATTTCGTCGAATTATGTATCTGAATGGGATGTAAATACTCACAATCTCAGTATTACTCGTCACCGAATAGCGGTTGTATGTCGACTGTGCACTACCTGATCGAATAGGGCTCACAAGCAGCTTGGGTTGAAGATTAATCTGGAGCGTTTAGATTGCCAGAGAATTGGTACGGTGTAGTTACCAACCTCATCTCCCATCATTTTCCTTTTAGACATCACTGGTTCAGTATCCCACAACTTCTTGTCAGATCGCCTACTAGCCCTGTTGATGCACCGCCAAACAGAACCGACTCACCTCCCATTGAGCCAACTTCATCAATCCTCCGGAAGCATCTTTTGGCTTCCTCAACCTTTCCATTTCAGTTCATCGTCTGCCAGCACGCCGTGTTGTACGGATGAAGAAGATCACATGAACCAGTGCGTTTGACGAAGGTATCCTACTGACAACACTACAGATCCGTCTTTCGAGTACACGTGAACATCTTTGTGGAACGTTGACAGTGAAGGACGCAGAGTTTCGTGCACTTGTAAATTTTGTACAGAAATACTTTATTAGCAATAAAAAGTCGAAAGAAGACTGAAGTGCCTTTCTAGCTCTGTAAATTGGTAACCAAGTTGTACAGGAAAACTTGACGATTACTCGTGAACAATCGTTTATCTGAATAATTTTCGTGGGAGAGTAGAAAACCACAACTTGAAGACGCATTCATCGACAGATAGAATGCGGTTGGTCTGAAACAAAAGGGATTTCGTAACGAGATTTACATCAGTCTACTTGATAGTAACGACAGTGTTTGGCGGAAACCCTTTCTGAAAATGACTACCAGGAAAAAAGTTGGCCTTCTCAAAATTAATTGATTTAGCAAGAACATGATTTCATCCCAAGATTATCCATGTCACAGGGAGTTATGTCACACGGGAGTCGAAGTGAACGGTAAGGAATCTGTGGTCGCTCCAGACAAATGAACTTGACTGCATAGTTAAATGGATAGGTTACAAGTTGTACAAACGGAAATTCGAATGGCTGCTGGACAAACTAAGAGCTAAAAGTCGGTTTTTTAAATTTGTTCCAATTTCGCACATATTCGCTTAGTTTGACATTATTAGCGCCCATTTGTATGATTGAGATTTTAATGGTATGTTGTATCCAAGTGCGGAAAATGCAAATTCTTGAATGGGGGTTTTTGTTCCATAAGTGAAGCTAACCTCTACTGAAAAGCCGAGAGGCTGTCTCATTCCTGTTAGGAATCACAACGGAACCCCAGGAAATCTCGAACCCGCGACTTCCAGGCTAGTAAATTGGACACAGCCATTCGGTCACCAGCGGCTGATGAGCACTGTGATTAACTCGCATCTGGACACGCATCCTTCAACCACGGAAATCACATCACGTGGGCACGTATTGACTAGCTCATCGGGTGATGACTTCTCAGATGACAGTTTCCTTCATCTCGCGGAATTAATTTCTCCTGTGAAATCTGTCCTGTCTAATTTTACGAACAGAATGCTTCATGCACGACTGGGCGGCAATTTTGGTTAGATAATGTAATGTAGGTCGATGAAGTTAGTAGCCCTGAAATGGGCTCGGAAATCTTTTGGAATGTTTCTTCGTTAAGCCAACATCTTCAAAAGACTTAGGTTTTAACACCCTACAACCTGGTTATTGGCTCTCGCACCATACGCTCACAAGCAACTTACTGATCAGTGGCTGAGTTATTCTCATTTGGATAGATGGGCTAGTTGAGTGTCCGCACTCAACACTAAAGTAGAAGCACTCATGTCACTCTACTAACAGTAGAAACGTGGATGGTTGGTCCTGTTTTGTTCTTTCATCGGCGTTAGCAAGGGATGTCCCGTGTAAACGATTGCAACCATTTAAATTATGTTGGGGTCAGTAAAACGTCAACTACACTTCATAACAAGATACCATTGATCAATACACTCCTGTCCGATCGAACCTGTGAGATGCGTTTTCGGATTGGACGAACGGGCATAGTTTTTGTTAGAATGTAGTGCATAAATAGCTACTCCTGTGCAGGCAAGCAAACAAGGAAAACGAACTCAATTTGCTCAATACTCACCATGTATTGAATCCGCAAAGTTGAAGACGGTGAGGATCGACGTTCCTCTGTACGTAAACAAATGAAAAATTTTTTCGTAGATTTTGTCGACTACTTTTTGAGACAATACAGCACCAATTACGTAACAAGCCGTGTTTCGGGTGTAGCCCACTGCGAGCCAGCTTTGGGCTTGTTATGGGGAGGTTGTGGAGATTTCTACTGGCAGAACTGAATTACTGCGCGCAACCATTCTGAGATACGATAGAATCCAGCTGCTTGTTTGCAATCCAACAACGGAGTTTCCACTAGATACGGACCTGTATGTAGTAAATTTGTGGCTCGTATACTGCTGTGTTTGCGTTATTGAATTGCTTCTGCAGAAGAATTGCCAAATGTATTTCATCATAACTGCCTGTAGGCACAAATGATACCTGTCTGCGGTCAGTTGAACTAGAAAAGAAGAATCTTGTGCGTGTGTGAAGCAAAACATGAAGTTTTGGTAACCCTCTGAGTATTCAGAAGTCTTTCTTGGTTTCGTTTAGCTGCTACAGCTGAACCGATCGAGGGCATAACTGGGGAATTCGACGGAATCCTAGATGAATCTGGCTTATGATATTCCTTGACTGAGCAGGCTGCACGAAGACCGCTTCCTGTTCTAGCTGACACGATATTCGAGATACCACTGTATATTTTCATAACGGAACACGCTACTCACAAGGTTGCTGTAAACTCCTCGACAGTCCACGACCAGTTTCGCCCTTGTTGAGGCAGTGAAATTTATGTGACACATTTACGCCAATTTGTACACAGTCGGGGAAGCACATCGATTTGAAAATGAGGTGATTGTCAGCGGGTGACCCAGCTGAAGAATATCAAAATCGAGAGACTCAGGTGGGATCCAGTTGGTGTTTCCATTGATTTTCCTTACTGGATATATTATCTGTAGACCCATCTACTTCGAAAGAGGGGGGCTTTCGTTGATTTGTCGTATATGGTATCCGACTTACTGATTGATTGTACAAGACAGTGCTAAGTGAATTTCGTTGTAAAGAGTTTGATTTGATGATTAGGCTGATAAGTAACACGTCACAGCCACGAAAGCTTGCTGCTCAGATGTGTGGCCAGTGGTAATTACAATGGCCTTGAGTAAAGACCAAATCGTAGCGATCGTTCTAGGGGCAAACGCGCATTATTCAATTGGATACCTTCTACGAACTCCAAACAAGATTGTCAGTATACTGTGTGTTGTATTACAAATGTTACACGATTCGAAGATGAATCCTCTTCAGCTTCTCTGTACCATAAGAATTTCTCTTAAAGCTACTCAGCACAAAGCAGCAGGATATCACTCGCCAAGATCCGATGGATAACTGTACAGATCAAGTTATGATCAAGTATCCAAGTAGAAATCAATTCCATCTTGTTCCTACAACTAAACCTGCGTAGTTGCCTGTGAGCACCAGGAAAATTGGCTATATTCGCTTAAGCAGCAACCTCATAACGGGTGCTCCATAGTTGAATAAGTCACTCACTTGCATAGTTAAGACATTCAAGCAAGCTTCGCAACAAACTTTCGGTCATGGTGTCCGCCATCCCAACGGTATTAGTATTTGTTGTGATTATCGACAAAACCGAGTCCTGGAGTTTCCTCTGCACTTCATATTCTCCTGAACAACACAAGAACCGAAAACCGTTATTGGGTTGATCGCAAGTACTGTATGAACAGATCTTCACCAGCTCGATGCACAAACATTTACTTAAGTATTGGTTTACAACCACAGGGACCATTCCACTGAGTCCTACGGGGGTGGCAGTCTCGTTCTTTAACTCCTGTAGTATTTATGACACCGTATTTTTTAAACAGTTTAAAGTTTTGACGGTCAATGAACGGTTTTTTCTAACGTTGAATGCTTTATCCAAAGAAAGTCCCCTTATCTTTGGGCTATTCGAGAGCATAATTCGTTAGTAGGACGATCTTATTGGGTGAAACCCGCAGATATCCCGAGGAATGCGATCAATGGGTATTATCATTAACGCTTAAACTAAACTAATGACGATGAATTGGTTGTTCGGAATTTATCAAGTTAAGTGGAAATATCCCAGATGTCCCAAAGGTTTGATTGAGCTGCCGCGGATGTGTTTCAGCGGCTGTCATTGCTTTATCACTTTGGGCAGGTCACGTCTATACCCACTTACAATAACGGTTGTAAAGTACACTCATCTGCGAATCAATTTGGTTTTCATGAGTGACTCAACTGAATCTCTCGTTTATGATATTCTTCAACTGAATGTGTTGCACACAGGCCGCCTCACGTTTCAGCTGGCACGATATTCGAGATATCGCAGTATATTTTCAAAAGGTTTCTGAAAACTCTTCGACAGCCTACGACCGGTTTCGCCCTTCTTGGAGCTCATCCGGTGGGTGCAGTCCCCGAGTTTCCGTCAACCTTATGATCTTTTTGAACCCGAATTAATTTGCAAATGAGTGTATTTCTCGAAAACAATCCAATCTGGTTTCAAGTAGAACATAGGGTTGACGGAAACTCGGGGATTGCGTCTACCTGACGAGCCCCAAGAAGGGCGAAACCGGTCGTGGGCTGTCGAAGAGCTCTCAGCAACCTTGTGAGTAGTCATCATCATCATCGACAGCATGACATCATTGTTCAACACTGATGCTTCACTGCCGTGAGTAGTTTCCTTTATGAAAACGGTTGTAAATGTTCACATCCATGCATAATGGGCACATGGATGTTTACCATTGGTATGTACACATGCAATTAGGATGAATATTCTCTAAATAGTTGGAATCACAACCGGTCGTTTAGTTTGATTTACTATTGCACTGATGACTTAGACCAATCCTGCCACGTCAAACTGCACATACTTTCGACTTACAGGCGTAGCAAACTCTACTTCATGCTCGTCCGTCGATCACTCCAACCCAAATTATTATGCGATTCTGCGTCGTGCTAAACTCTTTAATTTGAACTCATGTCGCGACGACGAAGTATAAAGAAAAAACATCCATTTGTGTTTCCAGACCAGAAAACCACATCAATTATTAATTGAGTCAAGGACACTAGCAAGTTTGAATATCTACCACGACCAGCTCTGGTGCTGAATTGAATCGATGGAGCTTAGGTGACGGAATCAAATGCTTGTCATCTTGAAACATAGTTTGCCAAGATTATCTTTCATGTGCCCTGGTTCATCGATGGCCATACAGCTAGCAAACTCAACCCTCATCGGCTCACTTCCGCAGCAGTCGGGACACCCACATGCACAGTGACGTAAAACGGTTTTCATACTTAATATTATAAGTGCACTTTGTTTCTGTACTTTGTTTCCCACCGTATCGATTCACTATCTAACTGGAAAATCACTTTAGGACGTAATGTGCAATTGAGCGGTACATCCACAGAGCCTCGGGTTGTCTGGAATGCAGGCACTAATCGAAGCGTATGATGAACACATTGTGGCATGCCTCAGGGCGCATAGCTCAGAACCTTTT